ACACTGAATTTTCTCTGCTTTGTGTGTAGATTTTTAACAATGACCTTACAGTTTCCTAGATGATTTGAAAATACTGAATTTTCTCTGCTTTGTGTGAAACCAAATGGCAAGATGTTGCTAATCAAGGTTTTCATCCACGCAGGTCAGAAGTTACATCAAGAAAGCTCGAACTGAAGGGGCTCAAATTCTGTGTGGTGAGGGGGTGGATAAGTTAAATCTTCCCCCCAGGAACCAGGCAGGCTACTTTATGCTTCCCACAGTGATAACAGACATTAAAGATGAATCTTGTTGCATGAAGGAAGAGATATTTGGTCCGGTGACGTGTGTTGTCCCCTTTGATAGTGAAGAGGAAGTGATTCAAAGAGCCAACAGTGTTAAATATGGGCTGGCAGCCACAGTGTGGTCAAGCAACGTGGGCCGTGTTCACCGGGTGGCTAAGAAGTTGCAGTCAGGCTTGGTCTGGACCAACTGCTGGCTTATTAGAGAGCTGAACCTTCCTTTTGGGGGGATGAAGAGTTCTGGGGTAGGTAGGGAAGGAGCCAAGGACTCTTACAGGTTCTTCACTGAAATCAAAACCATCACTGTTAAGCACTGACCTTGGCTGAAGGAGAAGCTGTTGTGGTCGCTGTCCGGCTGCAGAGAATTGGTCGTCCAAAGTAGTGAACAGAAATCCTGGCATAATTTACAGCCACATCTTGACTCAGCTGAAAGTTATCTCTAGCTTATCCTCAGTAGTTAGTACTTTCACCTGCTGTGGAAGAGATTCTGTTTAAAATGTGGAATCAAGGAAGAGAGGACTTGTGAAAAGGAAGGCACAAAGGAAGCAGAATAATGATCAGGTTCCAACTATGTTGTGTCTTAATAGTATGTTGTTTTTTTCATCATTGTGATTGAATTCAGAGATACTTAGTTTTTTTAATTTGTGAGTTTATAGAAAAAAAATCTACAAAGCCAAAGAGGAACAAATAATCATAGTTTCTTTCCTTTGGTGGGTTGTTGAGATGGCTTTCCCATTACCAGCCACTAGCATGGCTAATTGGTAATTAATTGTACCTCATTTGTAAGAGGGCCATAAATACTATGGACAAACATAATATGGAATTTGTCGTGAGAAGGCACATATGGCAGATCCCACTAAATGTATCTGTATAAGGACAAAGAAAAATAAAATAACTAC